TTGTATTTTTGTGTAGAATTATTTTTGTTTCTTTTTTTCTATCTGAAATGAGTAAGCTTTCATTAACTATGTACTTAAAAGTGTGATATGTGTTTAAATTAAATGATAAGGGTTTAAACAAATTATATTTTCTGGTTGATACTGTACACTTTCAACATTTCGTGTCGTATGCTATATCACCTCAAAATAATCTTTGTTATTTCTTAAAAATATTAACATATAACTATTGATATGTGCATATGAATGCTTGATTTGTTATATAGTTTCGTACTGTGTTACACATGTTTTCATAGTTAAAACACGTCATATTGAGAAAAAAGTTAGATGTACTCAATATTTCGCATACCTTTTGATACCAAAGTATGAATGGGTACCAGTATGTTGCAAATTGTTCAATATTTCGCGAGATGTCCATTGATAATTGATAAACATCGCGTTAAGTTTATCTATCCTTGGGCATTCCGGTCTTTGATCATTCGCCAAACTCAAACGGGATTGAACATAATGTTAATAAAGTCATGCCGTTATAACATTGTTAGACCCTCTAATGCAGTAACGTGTCTTAGTGCACCAAAATAAGAGTAAACACATAAAATTGCATAGAAATGTGTGTGATCAATGTTATTTCGATGCATTACACCCCGTTGATGCACTGAGGGGTCTAAAATAGTATACACCTGGCTAAACATTAAAGACATACCATCCCATTGATAAATTTATATTCTAAAAGGTTGTTAATCAGCAATTTGTTTAAGTCTTAATAAGTGTCTACTAAGTCAAGGAAAACGATTTTTTTGAACCAGTACCCTTAAGCCGTCGATATCTGAGAGGTTGTTCCAAATACCTGGTCAGAAGGCTGTGAACATCATATTGATAAATACATAAGAATGGTGTCGTTATCAACCATTTGTATGATATAAGGCTTAAATTTTTAAACTTGTAGTGAACTTATTAAAGCAATGAATGTTTTAGCAAATGTTGTTATGGTCCTACAATACGCATTACTAATGATGACAAACTTCATAAAGGCCGGCAGAGTTTTATGTAAATTTGACAGCAATAGAAATGTGTTTGCTAAAATATATATTATTTATATTTACATTTTGATAGAGTAGTTACGCTCTATTTAGTTATTTCGATGAGTTCTTTGTACAGCAAATTAAGTCTTGACAACAATGAAATTGATGATTGATGACGTCACAATAGAGATTGATGACGTTGCTATAGCAAATGTTGTTATAGTCTCACAACAACTTTTGCCTTCTCAATGCATTGCAATGAAAGGATGCAGAGCAAATGTAAATATAGATTTATGAACAATATGACTAGTATATATACACATGTCACTGATGTAATATTAGTGGTTGTAACATCCGGTACAGATATTTGAAATTTGCGACAGGCTTTACCATTGTTCGTAATTTACAAGTACAACCGTTGATATATCACACAAAAAAATCAGTGATGTACGTACAAGGATACTGTATCCATATGGTATTATAATCTTAGAGCCTTTGTGAACCTGCCCGTTGTGAAATGGCTAACTGATAAAATTCACCATCAATACAAATTATATATTACCTGTACAGTATAGTATTATTTACAAACTATTACCGACAAACTACCCAGACGCTACATCTCGCAACACACATTTAGGCTATAAATAGCCGTGACAAACCGCCGCTTAGGCTATCCTAAAATGTTTACTCACTTTGTGTAGCATACCTAGCATCGACGATACGTCTGAATAGCTGCACTCCGAACACTGCGGACGCGGACATATTTTGGCACACCGTACTGCTGGTTGAGATGGACTCCGTCGGGCGTAAACATGTTAACTTCACACTGTTTCAATCCCCTGTGCATGAAGTATTGAATACAATGACTATGCGACAAACGATCCTTCAGTTCCCTATCCACTGTACATACTCTGCCAGTGTAGACCTCGACAGGAATGTGCCTCGTTGACTTACGAAACAGAAGTTGCATAATGCAAACATGGCGTATTCCAAACCTGAACACCATCCACTCAGCTACAGCCACAATATTACTCGCGATCTTTGAGGGATCGGATTTAAACAATCAACATAATTTCCACCAGTTTGTAGTACCAATGCCTCAGGTCGCTCCAACGTCAAATGGGAAGAGAAATTAAGGGAAGTTAGGTCACTCACTTTCCCGCCACCTTTTCCCATAAACTTTACCAACACCTCAGACTCACTCAAGTTAAGAATTTCCCAGAAGGACAACAAAATCACTGAACTATGTCGACAATAAAAAAGGAACAAAACTTCTTACCTCTGGCCTCTGACAAAATGTGTTCAACTGCCGCTATCGCCTGTCACGTGACTTGTGTTCTTGCCTGTAAAGCGGTAAACAGGTCACGGTATGTTTTAATTAATAGATGCAGAGGCAAAAGCAAGAAGTCCTTCCACCTATAAAAATAGTTCTACACAAAATATGCAATTATTATTTTTTAGATGATATAATCATTTCCTTACAATATGGAAACTATTCTCGCCGAAATGCTTATAACTAATATTTTTAAAATGTGACCAAACTATCCTTGTTTGATGACGCTGATGAATGTTTATTCAACATAATGTTATCATAACACAAATTTAGGAAATCTGATGGTTATTTTTGTTTCAATTTTTTTTTTTTACTGATATATTTTCCTAACAAGCTGGTATACTTATGGGAGATATTCCCAGAGCCCATACTTTGTTTTTGTTAGGACTTTAGGCTTCATCGGTTTTGTAAACAACCGTTGCATTGCCGGCTCTGTACTGAAAATAGGGTTTTTGCTTGTGAACCGGCCTTGTAACATATTGCTAATTCGCCAGTAAAACTTACACGATCAAGCTGTATGTAAGCTTTGCCCGTCGTATGTATAATTGAATCATTTTTATGTCTTTGTGTTACTCATTACATTTTGCCTTCGTCTAAGTATATGAACCCTGAAAGACCATATATACAAGGACACTATTAAATGTCAACACTTTCCAGAGGTGTTTCAGGATTGCAATTCATTTTCAGGCTGTACTGCTCGTCATATAGTTAAACATATAATAGAAACGTGTGCACATATGACGAAATCTCATTAAAAAAATTAAGATGCATTTATTTCGTCTTTTCGTATTGCAGAGTTATCTGCTCTTGTGAGCAGGTATTGATTGTTACGTCATTGGTTTGTGTGGGAAAATTACGTCGTTTTCTCAAAAATGTATGACGTTACTCTCACAAAGAAAAGACGTAACAATCAATACCTGCTCACAAGAGCAGATAACTCTGCAATACGAAAAGACGGAATATGTAGATACATGTACTTCAGAAATTCGCCTACCTTAATCTTTCCCGATAACAATTTTAATTATAGAAATAAACACATACTTAGAATAAGCCATAGATTAGTTCATCTACTTTAAAATTTTAACTCAATGAGCAGGATAGCCTTGCATACAGCTACTTGTACGTAAAATACTTACGAAATCATGGGTAATTCCGTCTTTCACAGAATACTGTAGTTGTAGGCGGTCATTGGTTTCATACTAAGGCATGCTGTTAGAAGGTAATATGCTGATGAATATGATACAAGGTAAATGTTTGTATATTTATTTGTGAAGAACGACAAATAGCTGTCCAGCTTAACTTGAACAGAAGGGCTTTGAGATGTTTCGGACGAATCATTAGGTTTAAGATGTTCTTTCTATTCAATACGGAAAGGTGAAAAGGGCGAAAATTAAACTTCAGCGAAAATTTTCGGGTATACAGTATATATATATATTGTATTACACAAGCTCATTCTCTTCACTGAATTGAATCTAAATTTAGCCAGCAGGTAAAGAAAATAACATATATGCGTGACATGTTAAACAAACTGAACACTTTAAATATCCCCTTTGATAACCTCCATTGCATTAAACAAGACGCAAGTCACGAAACACGAAGGTATTCAAGATGTTATAAAATAGTATGTATTCAGAATGAAGTCAACTATCAACTATCAGTTTCACAGAAATATCATACCACATATTTTCCGACGTTTTCTGAACTTATGTTACCTAGAAGCAGTCGTGCCGAACGTCAACACCCTATAGACGTATCCACCCATCAACTCTCGCCTGCAAATACAGTCACGTTACCTTCCTCGTCTGTTCATAGATTTTATATACGTGTATGTGCGTACGACTTCTCACTGCCGACCCATCAAGGGGGAGTTATAAGATGGCAGAGTTTGGGTACGTACTAGGGTACCTCTTGGTTGTTACTCTTACAGAACTCTCAGCACAAGGTAAGTCGGCCATTGTTTACTTTTGTACATTTTGTCGATTGCAAAATACGTTTTTATTGTTGTTTTATCAATAACCTTTCCGTATAAATAAAGATTTTTTGTCCTTACAACATTTATATTTATATATATATATATGGTAGATAATAAATAAATAAGTCCTTGCGAAGGAAAATATAGAATAAAAACATTTTTTTCAGATCGTCCGCTAGGCCTTTCTGCCTTCTAGGGCATCTTCATTGATGTTTATTTATCACCGTTGGTTACATGACGTCATCAATATTTGTATAGTCAACAATTTTAATGACGTCATAAATAAACAAGCATAGTGACGTCACAAACAATACCAAGACAAAGAAAACATCTACATACAATACATTGCAAAAATCATTGTGCATTCAGGCTGGGTTTAAGGACTTTTATAAACATATTTTCCTTAATTTCTCTTGCAACTACATCGTCGCTATTCAGTTTGTAAATAGGTAACACATGAAAATCATCTTTAGAACATCGATGCATATGTTTGCTAACTTTTAAAAAGCATAGTTCATTGTCCTTCATTTGTTGTCTATGTACATTCATTCGTATTCTCAATTCACATCCGGTCTGTCCGATATAAAATTCACCACCTTCTTTACATGTTAAAGAGTAAATAACATTCTTAGAATTACAGTTAATGTCTGATCTAATTTCTATTTTGGAACCATTTGCAAAAACGTAGTCTTTACATTCAATGATAATCTTACATGTACAACACCTTGCAATTGGTTTCTTACATTTTTTTACACTATAAACTATATATATATATATATATATATAAAACTATATATATATATATATATATATATTTAGACTTTATACACAGATAATGAAGAAGTTAACATGATTTCAAAACGTAAGAAGTAGGTTAATATCAAGTTATGTGCATGGCTAAAACAGGTTTGGTATAAGCATTCAGCATTCAAATTGTTCAAAATATACTTTTGGCGTTTTCCTGTGTTTTGATACTTACATGTAATCTATGTGTTATTTAACAAACCGTAGATAATGTATGTTTGTTTAAAACTAAATATTGGGAGTGTATCTTTCTGTATTTATTCGTTAAAACATGCATTCGTGGTTGCCGAACGATGACAGAGCACCTCAATATTATTCAATATTAAGTTGAGAAGTTGACACCATGTCAGCATCATCCGGTTCCTGTATTGTTCATAACATGAACATCGTCATACCTAAAAAATACTTCCTATGAATATTCAGTTAAATAATAAGACTAGTGTACCCAAATTAATTATCGTATGGGGAAAATTATGTGAAAACCCCTGAAAAAATTGTTTTCTGTATCATCTGATTGCGTGAATTGAAGAAACTTAAATTAATCCGCTTTCACTTTGCAACATTTGGGACCTCCGCCCCCTTCCCCTCCCTTTACTTGCTCGAGGTGGTTGACACTGTCTCTCTGAGTACTGTACCTCTGTTTAGGCCGTTGTCTGAATAAATTTGACCTGTTGGCGTGTCATACTTTCATGTCAATGTCATGGCATTTCAGTGAGATGGCACTTTAAGAGTAAGAGGGCTTTTGAGTGACCCCACCATCAGGGGCCATCGTCCCCTTATAACTTTAGTTATCATTATGACGCCAAACTTAGCACAGTAACATATATCTGTGATCGACCATAGCTTTATTACCTGGGTTACTCGACGTCATATGCACCAGTTGTATAATAAAGCTATTCAGAGTTGTTTCCTCCTCGTTTACGTGCTCAACAGGTTTAGGTAAGTATCGTATTCTTTACTCTGCCCATACCAGTGTTACATGTAGCAAAGCGTAACGGGCTTGTGTATTAGTAATGTTCGACTAGGTAAATATGAAGGCCTACACCCTTTACCTGTACTACTTCATTTGAGAAATAATCAACATATGTGAGTTAATTATGGATGAATATATAACTAGGGTGAACAAATATTTGAAATATAATGAGTTGATAATTTTTCCAACACTTTCGAATCCAGAGCTGTATATTTCACCATAATATATAAGTAAAATTTGATGGAAGCCTTTTTCGTGGCTACCTCAGTAGTCATGCCCCTTTGATAAGCACGGTGGCCTAGATATAATCTTACTATTTAAATTATGCTGTTCTTTTGCACACACTAACACGTGATACCTACATATCTCCATTTCAGAACAAGCTGCGCGTTTTTATCATGTCTGATCCTGTGGGCAGTTCAATTTAACCTAGATATATTGGGAAAGTATTTTTTGAAATGTTTAGTCGCTATGCGGTCGACAAACGATAAACAATAAACACTGACGTCATGCTTTGTGCCAGATGTTTATTTCATACAATCAAAACCACCAATCTTTTGACATCGGTTGTCAACACATGAAATCAACATTTGACAGAATTAAAAACACTATTTCTAGTCACCTTCGCGGTCAGTTGAACATTCCATTCTGGAAATTAACTCTTGACAAGTTTTAAAGAAATCTAGAGGTTGAATACATTTTCTTTTGTTTGCCTGCTATCAAATCTTCACTACATACAAACTGAAATGTGGGAACCCTCATTAGACAAATAAAATAATTCCTGCGACTCGCTTTTTTACTAGTGCATTTGCGGTTGAGGTTTTTAGAAGAGCGTTGGTCTGTTGGAAAATAAATAAACACACTCGCGCGCACGGTAAATGGTCCAATAATTTATGGGTATTAACCAATGAAAAGAGTCGTTACATCGCAAACGTGGTAGAACACTGTATATTTCATTAGAGCATGGCATGCATTCATAAAGGATATAGATAATATATATAGATATCATAATCCTACAGATAGATAAACACGTTTAATCGTGACGTCAAAATAAACAATACATTTTGACGTCATGATTGATAATGTCAGAATGAACGCAATTATTAGAAGGACAATATTCAAACTTTAATTCTATATAAAACAATTGTGAGAAATAAATAAGCTGAAAGATAAAAACACAGAAGGATGTTATTAATAAGGAACGGAAGCACGGCAATCGTGAGATCAAAACCGTAACATATATGATACAAGTTGATGATGAGATGACCATTACAAATGTATAATCATACTGTAGGTAAATGTCGTGACATAAAGCTTAAGAACATGTGATATCTTTGGATTTAATTTCTTCGGAATAAATGAGATTCAATTAGGATAATCTTTTAATTCTTGCCAGATATAGGCAAACTATCATCAGTGTATGAAATATGAATATGGAATTAAAGAAACGGCCGAATATCTTTTACATTTTCTTGAATATGTAATAACTTGTTTGTTTAAATTCAAACGAATACATACATGTAATAAACTTTGAACGAATCGAGCTATGCATTCTTTCTTGAGTAGTCCTTATTGGAATACATAAATACTGTTGAAATATTTTGTTAGTGAATCCTCCAAAAAATGTTGTTTTTCCAAATAAAATACAAAACGGCTGTAGCACATCGTTATTAAAGGATTGACGACTGGTAGTTTTATTAGGTTGTTAATATGTATAGTTTTGGTATGATTATTAAGATGATTTTGAAAACATCTGTTAGGCAGCGTGAAATTCTAACAAAGATAAAATCATTCTAAACTGCGTTGTTGAATTGTCTGTTCCCTTTCTTATACGTAATAATTATATATAATGGCATTATGTCAACATAGACTCAGGCTACGTCTAGAACATACGAATGGCAGTTATGCATACCATAGAAAAGTAATATTGATAGAAACAATTTACGGCACTGCTTTTTTTTATTTCGCCGGCTTGAATAAAGATCAATCACTTTAGTCGATAACTGGGTTTTTTGCTACGATAATGCTGTAAAAATTTCTACAGGAATTCACCGAATTTCATACCCTGCGGCAAAACCACTCTAGACTTCGTTCCTTCTTGATCGATTCCCCAAAACAAAATTTTGTATTAGCGAGTGTTTGAACAGGGAGTCTGTTTAAATATTACGGGCCAGCCCAGACAGTAACATTAAACGGTCTTGTGTAACACTCTTATACAAAACAGGATCTTCAGTACAGAAACGCTATTTACAGAATACGTGACTGTAATTGAAATCACTAGAACTACATGTGTATATTTAAGCAATAAACTGCATAGATGTGGCAGACCAACTGGTATAACTGCCACATGTGTCACAGACAAATTGAATGGTGCGCGCTGGCATTTATACCAGTTGGTCTGCCACATCTATTACAAGTTAGCGGATGAAGATTGCCCCGGAATAAACGAAATTAAAAAATAGATAAAAAAAGACACGAAATTAGCGATTTCACTGAATTTAGAAATTCTAACCATTGTGCTAAAATATAACGATATGTTGGGCCAGTTAATGACAGTTTGTTAAATAACAGAGCATAAACAGTCATGCGTGAAATGATGAGACATTATAAATCCGTACCTAGATATAGACTGACATTTGTGTATGTGTATTTCTATATGTACGTACTGTGTGTAATATGTGTTTTTGCTTATGATGACTTTGAGACTTTACTCTCATTCTATAATCCGCTTATTGAGATAAACACAGCTTTCAGTTTTTACGAACAACATTTAACGCGTCACAAAAACCCACGGGTGACGTTACATTTTGTTCCATTTGTAATAGCGGTCATAAAATGCTATTAAAATGTAAATTCCGACAGAGACTATACCCCCAACCGTTCAATATGTAGGGTATTTATCTAGATCTGCATGAAATACTTGTTCAGAATTCATGTTTTATTATTTTACACATATTTATGTTTTAGTTAGAAATCATATCGTCACAAATCTCCGATGTTTTTGCTTCAAAGTACGCTAAATATATAGCGAGAAACGTAACTATTTATCTTGTAGACATTACAATTATATATTTATACCCTAATACCGAACCAGCCAGATGAGGTTGTTGGTAAAGGAGATACTTAATATCCATACAAATGTTATCGATTATCAATAAAAATAATAATATTTATTAAACTTACGGTGGAAGTTTCTAATACAAAGAGAAAGTTTATAAATTGCTTGTTGTAAGCCTCCTCGTACATCCTGTATCAATACACATTAAGTAACAACAGTGGACATACATGTAGTTTCGCATGAAAAAAACTCGAGACCTTTTTTGTTTGTTTGAAATAGAAGTTCGTAACAAAGGTACATTGTAGGTTTGTACAGGTGTTCGTACAGTTCCAGCTGGAACAGGTTATGCTATATATGTATTTGGACTTCTTTATGACAAAAAAATAAACATTTTGGGAAACTTCGTTTCAGTATCTAGATTTGTCTTTNTTATTATGTGTTTTTGCTTATGATGACTTTGAGACTTTACTCTCATTCTATAATCTGCTTATTGAGATAAACACAGCTTTCAGAGACTATACCCCCAACCGTTCAATATGTAGGGTATTTATCTAGATCTGCATGAAATACTTGTTTAGAATTCATGTTTTATTATTTTACACATATTTATGTTTTAGTTAGAAATCATATCATCACAAATCTCCGATGTTTTTGCTTCAAAGTACGCTAAATATATAGCGAGAAACGTAACTATTTATCTTGTAGACATTACAATTATATATTTTTATACCCTAATACCGAACCAGCCAGATGAGGTTGTTGGTATAGGAGATACTTAATATCCATACAAATGTTATCGATTATCAATAAAAATAATAATATTTATTAAACTTACGGTGGAAGTTTATAATACAAAGAGAAAGTTTATAAATTGCTTGTTGTAAGCCTCCTCTTACATCCTGTATCAGTACACATTAAGTAACAACAGTGGACATACATGTAGTTTCGCATGAAAAAAACTCGAGACCTTTTTTGTTTGTTTGAAATAGAAGTTCGTAACAAAGGTACATTGTAGGTTTGTACAGGTGTTCGTACAGTTCCAGCTGGAACAGGTTATGCTATATATGTATTTGGACTTCTTTATGACAAAAAATAAACATTTTGAGAAACTTCGTTTCAGTATCTAGATTTGTCTTTAAGCAAATCACGTTTGTAATGAATTGTTTAAAAAAAACACTGTTGAAAGTTTTTATGTGTAAGTTATATCAAACACTGTTTTAGAGGCAATGATTTAGTGTGTTTCTACGTGTACTTTGCTCGGGTTAGTCCACCCGTTCATTTATTCATGAGGTAGACGTCACACTGGCCTATGGTATACACACATTAACAATCTGTACTTTCATGCGTTTCAAATAAATATCGTGGCGACTTTTTAAAACATATTTATTGCCAGGACGTGCTCTCAGAGACGCACCCCAGGTACCGCCTATCTGTCTGTGATTAGAATATGGTAAAGATTTAACATCCCAGGTTGCCTACAACCATGTATCTAAACACAGTCTCAATATGTGTACTGGTGTTCATTCGATAGCACTTGTGTGGGCCACAAAGCGTGTATTTCTAAGCTGCATCGTATGATAAAAAAGTTTGATCCCGCAGTAAATTCTCATTTTAGTCGAAAATTCGCCATCTTACACACTATATATTCTACATTTGTACTTAAATTTGATAAATATGTAAGTACTAGTGTGGACTGCAGTATAAAGATGATAAGGTCTATCCTAATATATATATATATATATATATGACTTATATGACCTGTATTCTCGCATATGTATAACAATGTATTGGTAAATCACGTACAGCCTAAAACTCAACGGAATTTTATTTTGACTTTAAAAAATATACAATTGGATCTCACATCAGATGTTTCTCTCAATATTTATCTCACCATTTCACAACAACAGGATAAAAATGACAAAGATGTTTAATAGATATTGAAGATCAGCGAGAAACCATCTGGACATATACATTCTTGTATATAGTGTCGCGCCAGTATAATATACGGTAAACCTGCTGAAGTGTGACTCTTACTTGTTTGTACACAGATTTCATTCTAGATTAATAGGGACATCCTGTGCTTGACTAAAAGCATTTCTAGTAATGATGAGGGATCGGTGTCAAATAATTTGTGTTACGGATAACAGATTATCCCGTAAAGAAGGGGATACTATAAGCTTAAGCGAAAGTTAAGAACAGATTTGATTGTGACCTTTTCTGGCAGAATTTTTATCATTTTGAGACCTTCACGTTTTATGTTTAAGGATGCAAAAGATCTAAAATATTAACAGATACACGTCAATGAAATAAATAACACTCAGCAGCTGCGTTAATGTACTACAACACAATGGTCGGAAAGACAATTGGGAATATCATTTAAAAATAAGCTTTCTCACAAGTTCTTACATGTATATAGATAAACCAAGAAAAAGTATCAATATGGTAATCACAAAAGAAAACAACCATCTAAAATATTTCTTTTTTCATTTTTTACAGAGGCTTTAATAACGGGTTTTCAATCTTCTGTCGTGAATAGTGGTTCCCTGTACACGTATCGAGGGACAGTCGACCAACTATCAAAGCAGACGACCATCGTACCTGTGATAACGCATTTCAATACCGGAGTCACCATTACCAGCCTGACCTCTGACCCCGAGAACGATGTCCTGTTCTTTTACGAATACTTTACCCAAACCATATATCAGATATCAAATTTTACTTCTTCAAACGTCCATCAAACGTCACCGGTACACGCTGTTTCCAGTTCCTTAAATACCAACATAGCCTTTGATTGGATAACCCGAAATCTGTACTGTACTGATGGTATTCTAGGATGGATATTGGTGATACACATGGGAGCTACGAGGGAGGCAGATATGGTACGAATCCTGCTGGATACCAACATGGAGTCACCAGGTGCCATCACAGTGGACCCAAAAGAAGGGTAACTGTTAAGATAAATACAACTTACAACCGCTTTGTTCCTTGCATTACCGATGAGTCAGAGAAGGACGAAGCAGCTGTATTGTAACTAATGTTTCGTATACTGTATCGATTACTAATTGTATAGGTGCTTTTTTAATTTATAGTATGTAAAAGCCGAAGAGCGACATGTTTTACCACTTGTCATAGAAGTAATACAATTGCTTTTACTATAATATTCATTAATAACATGGCTGCCGTTTGCCTTTTAGTAAGCACCTACCTAAACTATGACTTTGTAATTGATATATCATAGTTAAATTTCTCATTGACAAAATAATTCCTTCCTTGCGCTGAGCTCTGTTCTCTGTTCATGCATGTTTATATGTTCTCGATTTGGAATAATAAATTGTGTTCAAAACTGTATACCGGGAAACTGTCGCACTGACAAACTTTCGCCCTACGCTGGTAAATACATATTCGCCTAGTGTTAATTGGGTCCTTCACATTCGATAACTGTATATACCATGTTGTTTATGTACCAGGGAAGAAAAAAGTCAAAGTTAAACGGCGGAGAGAATTTCCTGGTATACATTAATGCCATGGCGACTTGTTGCTAATATGAATGCTAATTCGAACGTTGTAGTTACATGTTCTGGTCGGACATTTACAAAGGATCTCCCCGTATAGAACGAGCATACCTGTCTGGAGAGCACCGCGAGGTGATTGTATCCACCAGTCTGCTCATGATCGGCGACGTATCCGCCGACGTCCAGGAGAGACGCATCTACTGGACAGACAGGATGCGAAATACTATCGAAAGCTGTATGTATGACGGCCAGCAAAGGGAGATAATTCATCGGCGGAACAATTACGTCTTTTCCGACATCATGACTGACCTCGTATGTTATGTTGTTTGTACTACTTGTGAATACCATGGTAGGAGTAGCTATACTTTCCTTGTCTATTATCAAAACGGGTAGCGCAAAGAAATATGATAAAAGCATTTTTAATAATTCTTGAATTGCTGAGTATTTTCTAATGTTTATTAGAAAGTTCAACGGTATTATGATAATTCGTGATCTTTGTCATCTGATTGAACTAGCAACCAATATCTGTGTCATATGATTTTACTAGTAATCACTGTCTGATATCTAATTCAGAATAATCAGTAAATGGTATGATTTCTAGGTAAAAGAACACTGTTCTTTTTCCAATCGAAAGGCGGAGTTTTTAATATGTTCAGGCACCTATGAATTGAGGTATTTAATGATATGAATATGACGATTGGATTGTTTTTTCAGGCACATCTTTGTGTCACAGAAGATTACCAGGATATGCTTTTGTGTATGTACAAAAGTTCTGCCGAGTATGTGCTGTTAGAAAGGTATGATAGACAACCATACGCACTGGAGGTATTCGATAAATCTCGGAAACCGTCGTCTACGGGTACGTATAGGTGTTGTCTTTCTTATCCTAATTTTTAAATAAAAGTTTAAGGGATTTTACTCACCTCCTCCTCTGTTACAGCAGTATTTTAGACAATTTGGATATCTAATTTTTGTTTTTTAGTAATCCCGACGAGTCATAATAGGACGAAAATGCTGTAGGATGTATGGTAATTTATATTTGTACATATTACCAAATGTTAAGAGTGCAATTATCAGTGTGTTACGTTCATCTGTCATAACAATACATATAAGTAAAGTATATTAGTAAAGCTTTCCTTTAATATAGCACAATAACGCAGAAGCAATAGTAACTAAAACATCATTGTTTACACTTTATTTAGTAAAGGGTTTTATCATGTCTATGTTTATATAAATGGAATCTTACACGAGTGTTTGTATGAAGTGTATAAAAAGGTTTGTATGTATATTTCATTTAATCGACTCTCTTGAAATGAATTTATGTAAGATACTCTCATCACATAATGAAATTTCATGCGAATAACGCGGACAATATGTCTTTCCATATCGTTCCCGAGTTCTTAAAATCCTTCATCTTGACTCTATGAAGACATAACATGACATCATTACATGTTAATATTTTGACGTCATAGCATATCATATAACATAAGTTAAACGCAAAATATATAAAATTGGTTCATTTAGTAACGCGATATTCATGTATCAAAACGAAGAAGAATACTGAACAATTTGGGAGAATGTGTTGTACTGGGTTTCACTAATGTAACGTTAATGACAATGCATATGATATTCAAAACCTGGAAAAGAGCAACATATTGTGATGTGGCACATTTTAGGTATATGTATTCGTACACGAATTCCAAAAGTAACATGTTAAAAGTAGAATAACGACTAGTACATATACCGTACGATAAACTAGAATAAATGATCTTCTAACAAAACAGCATATCTGCTGTATCACAAGTCTTCGCTAATGTACATAAATATATACAAACTTGGTTTGAGTTACAATCAAGTCAAAACGGATTATCCAAACTCTAACACCATTTATGACATGACTTTATGACATTATGACGTCAAAATGATAACAATAAATATGGCAAGATCACATACATTCTCGGCAATTTGGTAAAACAGATCTTCAACTTGTGTTCAATTTTGTACAATACGACATTTCTGGAACGGGCCCGAGGTTTGTGCTTAGATCGGCAGATTCTTGCACACATGAAAAGCTATCGGACTCGTTTCTCATATGAGAAAAACCATTATCACTGCATGCTTGGCACATATAGGACTAAACATTGATACAATTATAACAGTAATGTATGTTACTGTTTCAGACAAGTGTGCCTCCAAGTCCTGTCAACACTTTTGTGCTCCCACTCCAGCAGGGGCTACTTGTCTCTGCAAGAATGGTTACACTCTTCAAGGAGACGAAACAGCATGTGTTGGTATGTTAGCAAGCATCGGACACCAAAGTAGATATATATTAGATTCTTGGTTCCTTTATTGTTTCTTTATTAAAAGAAAAGAAACAAAATCACAAGTCACATTCTTGACAAAAGGACTTAAATGACTAACGTTGAGAATGAGTTTGAAGGGATGCCTCAGAATTGTTACGCTTGCAATGAGCCATGTGGAATGGTGTATTGTCAATTGGTCAACTGTTCAGGTGTGTATTAAAAAAAGTATTATTCTATTATCACAGAACTTATCAAAATTATGTTTTTTGTCTATCATCAATATTTGATTTAAAGATTATAACTGTCTAGTTACCATATACACACATACTTATAAATTCGTATGATTTGCAGCTGACCACGACTTACCAGTGAAGGGATTACTTTTGGGGAACAGTACACACATGTGTGTGATAGACTTTCTGAATTTTGAGTCCTCGCCTTTTAAAGCGCCTATCTGTTTAATAGACAGTCTCCAGGATACAACCTTTCTGTCCGTGGATGTTACGTCCATGGATTGATTTTTTGCTGATAGGAAAACACGAAGTCTGAATTCCATCAATATACAAACAAGGATAAGGAAACAGCTTGCTAATACGGGAATTGTGTCAGGTAGGTAAATGAACGAAATGTGAAAGCAATTGGTAGTTTTATTTCATTTATGCTGTCATTGAATTTCGAAAACAGTTTTTGAAATAACAGACACAATCTCTAAAACAATTAGTAATGTGAGCACAGATAATTCTATACCTCTGTAGGTATTATGTCCACAAAACGAGTTTAGGGATTTTCATTGCATTTCTCCACCGGGCTACGAATGACCCTTTACAAGAACATTTCTTTGGATATGTAGATGAGCAAAGTTATTTTTATTTTTCCAGTGAGAGAATTTTAATATACCCGATGCAGCCCCTTGGGTGCACGCCAAGAATACGCCATTTACCCCAACCATTTTTAATAATAATACTTGTATATTTTGTTCTATAACTACTTGTCATTTATGACTAAGGGGTAGTGTAGGGGACTATGAACTGTTTCGTCACAATTAGAACTTTTTTTCTGTAATGATAGTCCAAAAGAATGCTCCAATAAGTACATACATGTATGTTGTGTCTGTCACGATCACCATCGACATCGAGGCACCAAACACAACTACATTGCCCTTACTATATTGAATCAAGGTTTTATTCTTGTTTGATTTCCCGTGTTTGTAGTGTGAATATCTCAATCTCGCGAACGCAAGACCAAGGAGAGGTGTTTTAACTGGATTGGCAATTTGACATGAGCCTATTAACTCATTTACCCATAATGAACAATTCCACCCTTTGAATTGGGAGAGTTAAAATGTGTCTTCAGGGGTGAATAAGTTAAAGTAATAAGTCAGAAATCAGGAGTAATTTATGAAAGGATTTGACGTTAAAGTAATCGTTTTCCTTATGCTTTATCTGAGAGTGTCTTGCTTTTGTATGACGTGTATCAGTATTTTACTCTCTGAACCAGCATGGTAGCAAAATGATCTAAAGTAAAACGGAAATTGTTTACCAAATTATGAAGAACTTTCATTAATCATAATTGTCGGTGTCTGTTTCACACGATGTTAATACTAATATTCTTTAACTTATCAGGTTTAGCCTATGATTGGGTCGGTCAAAATTTATACTGGACTGAAGCAGACACAATGAAAGTCAAGCTCGTGTCCGTCTCCGTGGCAACACCTATGTCTATTGACCTTGTCCTTAGTACCCTCAGCCCGTCTGACGTCACAATAGATCCACATGGAAGGTAAATATACGTCTACAATTATTGTAGCGCGGTAAAATGATATCAGTGTCTTCGAAGCAGGTATTATTTTTGTATCAATGGATACAAAGTAAAGTAATTTAAACTAATCAGAGGTATACAAATTCTAAAAAGATTCTTATATTTAGTAAAAACCTTCAAACACAATTGTGTGTTATCAGCTGTCTATATTTAAGTCAAAACCAAAGTACACCGATCATTGTATTGTCGTTCCGCGCAGTGCAAAGAAGTTCCGATTTTATTTGTATAATGAACATTTAAAATGCAATCAAAATAATAAGGACAAAATAAACATTTAAATTCATTTTATACATAAAAATCATCTATTTAAAAAAAATGTAGTTCCATAAAATATATATTCCCTCGGTTTGACCAATCGCAGTACCTTTAGTACACGTGTGTTTTACCATATTCATGACAAGGCCGTATCACATAGTAAAATGGGTCAGTTATGTGATAAAACACATATATGTAAGTAAAATGAACGGTTTTAATTTTACCAACAGAATGGTATTTTGGATATCAGGATTAGGCACTTCCCAAAATACAATACAGAGGATGTCGACAGATGGCAGCACGAGCCAGACAACTATTGTGTCCAGTGGCAATGCGCTGACGGCGTTGTTCTACGACACCATGCGAAATAGGTAATGTGTAATGTTCATCTGTGGCTACACAAAGCAACAAAACGCTGATAGGAAAGTTTTATGTTGAACTGCTTGTGCGCAATGAAGGTCCCTTGTTGATTACTTTTATTCATTTACATGCGCAATAAAATATCAAACAAACAAATATTGTTTATTGATGTTGCATTCTTGTAATTACCATTAAATTGGAAATGTATGTATGTGGAAGACAATTATTGTGATATTTCCAATTGATTGCATTGTGGAAATATTCGAAATGAGCATATTAATGTTATAATTTTTTTTCGCGAGTGGATATTTAACGCTTAAAACACAAGTATTTCTATAATGCGATGATTTTCACTTATTCGATATTTAGATTATAAACTGGTTTTATATTAATGGTAACCTTATGCTGTATCAGTACTGAATATTATTTGACAATTAAATCGTTGCGTTTTAACAGGTACTGCAATGGTTAACAATATTGTCTAGTGCATCATGTCTGTGTAAATACAGAACAAATGTCTCGTTGTTCCGGAAAGCGGCTAACGTATAACGGTCAACTGAAGCAATTAGTTGGGATTCAGAACAAGTATTTTCTTTGACGTTATATATAGTACATATAGGTCCATATCATCTTTTAGTTATTTTTTTTTATTATTATTTTAACCCTCTTTTTATTTTAATTATCTTCACATACAATGCGAAATCATCTTCGTCACTCACATGTTTGAAAAAATTAAATAAATAAATAAATCACCATGGCCCTTAATGACCAAAGCCGTCGATGGGCCGGTAAACACAAACAAACAAACAAACAAACAAGTATTTTCAATTATTTGAGTAATACAATTGTATATTTTTGTTGGTTTTTGCTACGCTACACTTCTTTTTTTCAGTAATAAGGAACAACCAAGCCGAGGAAAGTGTTGGTATTGGGCAAGCGATCATATGTTATTTTAGACATTATTAAAATTAACGACAGAGTGTTAGTTGTATTCATTTTATTATACATACGTTGGTAAATAGAGAAAAAAAAATACAGTACCTGTATAACAATTGCGGTCTCTTAGCTTCGCAGCTATATGACAGAAATAACATATCCAATTGCGCTACATATCTGTAACGCCTGCCGTATTGAGATCACCTGTCGGACGTGACGTCAGTAATTTCTTTCCAGCGGAAGTACGGAATTTGCAACATCTGGTGGTAACCTCCGTTACTGAAAATGCTAGGGAGATAACTTTTGTAGCACTTCGTTCATAGTATATGTAAGAAATACTAACTTATTCAAATATCCTGATAATATTTTAAACATTTCAGTTTACACTATTTTCAATATCAATAAGAATATTTACTTTAAAATCTTTATACTATATTCCCCTACATCGATTTTTGAACATTTATCAAATTATAAAAAAATATCCTTTTGGAAGGGAGACAACTGAGAGATAGTGGTTACGGATGAGGACAACCGTTCCAGGACAAGAAAAATTGTTCTCATAACAAAGCACAAATAAATTATTACTTTTTTATCGGTAATTTCATGATGTATAATATGAACATGTGTATAATAGAAATGTTTCTCTATTTCTCCATATTTCATGATTCATACTGGTATTTATTATCAAGTGTTTGGGCCAGAGTGGGAATCAGACTGGATGGGGGAACGAAAGGTATTAGTCAGCCATCCTGACAACAGTTCCAGTTAAAAATTATCGTCAAGTACCAGTGTTTGATAAGCCGATAACTTTGATGGTTTGTAGTTGTAAGTTTAAAAATAAGTACTTGCTCTTGAATGTATGTCAATAATCGTGTTGGCATCTATTATTGCTTTATTTCAAATTTTACCTTTTACATTTCATTATTTTCCATGTCCAAATATCTTACGAACGCTTCCTTCAGTCCTTACAGTACTTTGATTTCTATCTATGTTCTAAATTACGTGTATTTGAATGTGAAGAAATGTTTTTACTCTTTTACAGGCTATTCTGGGTGGAGGGTGGAACATTGAAGAGTTCCTTAGGAAGTGGTAGTGATATTACTACACTTAAGGCGCTGGCTACACAACAACACTCGCAGCTCATAATCTATAAGGTAGACGTTAAAGTATCACACACTATTGTATGCCTTTTTAAAGGAGATGTAATGACTTGTTCCTTTCGATGTCATATACACAAATGTTTATTTACAAATGTAAGGTTATTCTCCATTTTTAAACTGAAAACCGTTGAATAAAATGGCACCATTACCAAAGTATAAGTATAACGTTTTTACAATGTACACCGTGTCTGATACACTACTTATGAATAGATAACTGATATACATATATATTGTGATAAATTAGACGCGTTAAGTCAGCGATTTGGTTCAGAGCATCAAACGGAACTATTTCGAGCCGAGCTTAAGAATTTAGTGAGGAAGAGGGACCAGTCTCTCCCTGAATTAGCACAAAAGGTAAAGCGCTTAGGGAGGAAGGCTTATCCAAAAGCTCCATCTGACCTTATTGAGACTCTGTGTCGTGATCATTTTATTGATGCACTGACAGAATCTGATATGCGTAGCCGTATTCAGCAAGTTCATCCAAAGTCCTTGGCCGAGGTCACAAAACTAGCCGTGGAGTTGGAAGCAATTTGGGTAGCAGAAAAACAAAGGGACCGGCGAATATCTCATTCAGTTACAGCTGTACAGCCAAAGGAGGGGGATGGATATGTGGATCGAGAGACAAAGTCAAAAACAGAACAATTAGAAAGTGACATATTGGCTTTGAAAAAGGAGTTATCAACTCTGACACAGAGCAATTCCAGGTTAACTCCTTTAATGGACAAAGGAAATGTTGGAGTTGTGGTAGCCCATCACATTTTAAAAGGGATTGTGAAAGGGGTGAAAAGGAGCGAAACACAACTGGACCAAGAACAACCAGGCTTTCCGAAAACGGCCAGGGTATATATCTTAAAGGTACTGTAAATGGGCAACCTGTAAACCTTTTGATTGATACAGGCTCTACCGTAACCATCCTGAATACATCTGTCTTTGAACAAATTCCTGATGACAAGAAACACAAATTGACCCCAGCAAGGCTTCATTAGATGCATGGAGACCTCTCAGGACCGGCCAAAGTGGGAAGATGTATCAACGGAGAGCACCGCATTGAAAACACTCTGGTCCTAATGGACGAAACTTGAACTTAGAGATGGGATGTTGCACCGTAGGTGGGAAGATGACACAGGGAAGCGTATGTCATGGCAGCTGATCGTGCCGTCAGAGTACCGTGAGGATGTGCTGACAAATTTGCACAATGCGGTTACAGCTGGCCATCTTGGTGTAAACAAGACTCTGTCTAGAGTGAAAGAAAGGTTCTATTGGCCAGGGATAAGCAGTAGTGTTAAGCAGTGGTGTCGATGTTGTGAGCAATGTTCAACAAGGAAACGACCATACAAAACACCAAGGGCCCCTATGGAAATTTATAATGTTGGCGCACCAATGGAGCGCGACGCTTTGGACATTATGGGACCAATACCTGTGTCTGACCGAGGAAACAAATATGTCTTGGTCATTGGCGACTATTTCACAAAATGAATTGAGGCTTACCCTATCCCGGACCAAGAGGCGGAAACTGTGGCTACAGCATCATTGGAACAGTTTATCTGCCGGTTTGGTGTTCCTATGCTGATACATTCCGACCAAGGCCGCAATTTTGAATCAATCTTATTTTGGGAGATGTGTCGTCTTCTTGTTATCGAAAAAACGCGTACGACGGCTCTCCACCCTCAATCTGATGGAGTGATTGAGAGATTCAATCGAACCGTTGAAAGCATTTTGGCAACATTTGTGTCACGTGAGCAGAAGGACTGGGATGAGATTCTTCCCATGGCACTTATGGCTTACCGTAGTGCGGAGCATTCATCAACAAAGTTCTCACCGAACGAGATGATGTTGGGACGCGAGGTTCGTCTTCCTGTGGATTTAATCTACGGCACCCTGCCGAGGGAAGCGGACAATGACGGTAGTGTACCCCAGTTTGTGTCAAAACTCGTCAAGTACCTCGACAGTGCACATGATTTGTCAAGACAGAATATAAAAGACTCGTCAGAAAAACAAAAGGAACACTATGATTACAGGACGAACACAAAGTCATATAAAACTGGGGACGCGATGTGGCTTCATGATCCAAAACGGAGGGTTGGGATAAGTCCTAAACTTCAATCCAACTGGGATGGTCCGTACCTTATCGTGAACTGCCTAAGTGACTTGGTTTTCCGTATACAAAAGACTCCGAGTTCGAAACCTCGCGTTGTACATTTCAATCGTTTGAAATCGTACCATGGTGACTATAAAAACTGACTAACTACACAGGAAAAAGTCTTAGAGGAGAGCAATTTTCCTGACGACAGAGACTTTGCCTCAGAGCATGGAAGTGTTACAGATGATGACAGTGAATGCGCGTATGGACGTGGTAAGAAGTTAAGTAGACCTCCGGACAGATATGGATATATTTGAACATTTTACCTGGATACAAGTGTTGGTGATACGAGGAGGGGGCAGTGTGATGAATTGGTGTTTGTATATCCCTAATCGTGTATATTGTGTTTAGAGTAATGGGTTGATAAGGATGATGGGGCATGTATTTAGTACAGGCTTTAATTGACACCGGGAGGGGGACCATACTGATAGCGGGCAGGCTGCACATGGCTGAGCCGGAGAGTTGACCTTTAAGGTCATGGGAGCTGTCACTGCTACAGGGCTGACCTCTGAGGTACACCTAGGAGTAATAGCTAGGGGGAGACCAGCGTGGGGTCCGGGGAGAAAGGGGAGTAATCTAGTGGAGCACATACGTGATTAGGCTGTCTCCTGTATAGCTTAGCTGAGGTAAATTAGCTAGGGGATTCTCTCAGGTGTTGTTATGGACTATGCTGACCGTGATGTTGTACGTTGTATATAAAGTGTAAATAAACTTGTAAATATAACTCTGCTGTGAAACGTTGTATTCTGGAACCCTCCTCCCAGTCACGTTACAATATATATATATTATATAAAAAAATATTCTTAACAACGAGTCTTTAGTACTTTCATCTCTTCTAGGAGATTCTTCAGACTCCTAGAAGAGATGAAAGTACTAAAGACTCGTTGTTAAGAATGTTTCTTTATATAATATTTCTTCGTCCGTAAGGATCATATTTCTGAGTTAATATATATATATATATATATATAATCGCATTGTATTGTAAGACATATCCAAAATACACTCCAACAATGTACTGAATAATGCAGCTTTGGATATCGCACTCCTTATCATTTAATGTCGATAATATTTCCTGCAGATGTACGCAGTTTGGATCAGCTTTACGAGTTCTCAGATCCACACCATGTCCATGGTGACTAAACAGCTTCTAACTCGAGCCATCGACGGGTTTGGGGACGTAACGGGGATGGCCGTATTTGATGAAACAATACAATCACAACAACCAGGTTAGGTTTCCATTTCTTTCTGTTAGTTCAATACATAATGTGCTACAAATATAAATGTCCACAACATTCGGGAAGCGGGATCCATGACAATAAGATGTATGTAGCTGTTACACAAAGTAGTATAATGCTATGAATTGTTCAATCCCGACATCACTGTCTTTCTTATCTTACAGAACCATGTTCCGTCCTGAACGGTGGATGTTCCCATATATGCATACCAACGTCCAATACGGGGAGGCGCTGCGTTTGTACCTTTGGTTTTACACTGCAGCTAGACAAGAAGTTCTGCAAGAGCAGTAATTACATATATATGCAATATTGCTCACTATTTTACTAGCTGTATACTAAAACCGAGAAGTATGAAGACAAGTTATTACATATATTAATTTTGTCTATCAACTCATTTAAATTCTTCAAACCAGAAATACAAAACAAAAAAAACACAGTTTTCAAAAACAAAGTGAACAATACTATATTGAGGTTAAGTTAAAGGTGCATCTCCAATACATTGAATAAACAATGACTGTTACACACTGTGTTTTATTCTGTACTTTATTTCTCGAACTATGCTTGCATATTTTAATAGGAAATGCCCTAAATTAGCAGGGGGATGCATTTTTAATATTGATGGCAATTATTTCTAGGGAAAAAAATATGACTGATTTAAATGTGCAAATCATTGTCCTCAAAAAATATTCAAAAGAAAAAATATATTCATTCTGGGGAAAATGTGATTGACGGGTTTAAAAAGATTTTGGTCTAAAACAAAACAATTGAAGCAATGGCATAAATATATTTATTTATCAATTATAACCGCTATCTTTCAAATAACGAATCGCTCATTTGTATACCATTGTACACATTGAGTTTATGGTGAATATATCATTGTTGATATTAATCACGCTGTTATTATTTCAGAACCTCCTCTGACGAACAACTTTCTTTTGGTACCTGATCTAAACCATGCCCGTCTGTACCAGCTATCCCTTGACAATGTCACGCCTCAGTTTCTTGCCCTTGACCTTCAAGTAGACAGACCAGTCGACGCCGTGTATGATCCTGTAAATCTGTACATGTACTGGACAGAGGCTAACCTCAAAGTTATCAAGAGGAGTAAACTGGATGGCACAGAGGTCCAGACTCTACTGACATTTTGTATGTATATTCTTATCTACCAAGTCACTTAATGTACTCATCTCTTGAATTGCATAATAAACTATACCAACCTTTGGAAGAGTTCAAAGAGTGAAACAAGTAGTCTGCAACTGAGATTTAGTTTCACATATTTGCATGATTTTATTACAAAGCTAAGTATTTGAATTCCTGTTAAATACAAATTTCTCAGATTGATTTGTTGATATAACACAAATGGAGTCAAATGATCCTTTATCGTCATCTACTATGATCATATAACATGAATCACGAACAGGTTTGACACATAAGTATTGCAAACACATCTTATGGTTAAATATCTGTGAAGAAGCTCTTTAGGGGAAATCAAACATTACAGAACATTCTATGGGTTGATTAATGTGTATTATTCTAATCCTCACAAAGGCGATATCCTATATAAACTATACAATTATACTACATTCATACTGTAGCACAAGAGTATCCTGAACGGCTTGCCATAGACTTTAGCACTGGGAATCTGTTCTACACGACATCGGTCGTTGGTGACTCTGCCAGTAGGGATGGTAAGGTCGGAGTGCTGAGGATCATTCAGGACCAAACCTTCAATAAAGTGCTTATAAAAGATGAAGGCGCTGCCGACTTCATTCAGGGACTGCTAGTGTTTCCAAAAAACGGGTAAGTTTCTCTTTTGTACTCTTGGACTTTTTCTAAACTGCAGTTTGTCCCTTTGATATATTGACTTCCGGACTATAACCTGAGCTGTTTTCACCTTAATTCTGACAACATCACAGACACATTCACCAGTAAAGGTAAATAAATGGATTTAATTTTGGATCCATACATTAATTTTCAAGGCCGGCGTGACTACGTTACATGATCATTTCTTCAAAATGCAATATGGACCATATTTTTCGCATTTTTTTCCGTAGTCATATTCTTGTACTAAAATTGTCCAAAGGACAAGTTCACTCACTAGGCACTAAGGAAAACAACCATGCACATTTCATTTAAAATGTATAGAATAACGCCACAGTTACTAAGAAAATGGAAATGTATTGTTATTTGTTGAAGGCTTTAATTTATGTTTTCTTCGCTTATGTTAAGGAACTTTTCTATACACATTGAACCATTTCACTCTATATCTATACTTGAAGGACTGACGTATTTAGAATAATGATTTTTTTAAATCCTCGAAAGTCATGAATTGTGATGAAAATTTTTAATATTTTTACATTCACAATTAAGAAGTCTTTCCCAAGCACTTCAGTTCGTTATTTGATATATAAAGCGTTGTTTATCGTAACACTAACTGTTTTGTTGTAATTTATTTGTCTATTTTAGATTGCTGATTTGGAGTGGAACGGACTTTGATGGCCCGAAATCTGTTGGAGCCATACATAAGTCATTCATGGACGGTTCTGCAATCACGTTACTGGTATCTGACGTTAACAGCCCACAGGGCCTCACCATGGATTATGAAAGTAAGAATTTTCATTGCTAAAATATTTTTCTATATTTTCGTTTGATTGTTGTTTTTTAGAGTGACCACTTTGAATTAACTACTACTATAATATATATGTCTGTTGTTTCACTTATCAAAGTATTGCAATACATCAGGCTACTTTTCATGTTCTTATGTTTTTTCGTGACATCACCGTAAGATTAATATGTAAAAACAACTGGGACAAGAATTAATTCACTGACACAAATAATCTCGCATGTGTATGCCATAATGTTGCAAACGTATTCTGATTTGAATCCTGAACTTTGTGCGCTTGCCATCCGAGCAATAATGTTCATGTATGTTAAGAACCTAAAATGATATTTAACATGCTTTTCATTAAAAAAAAACTCCATATGGCCATCGCTTTAGATGAAGATTTTTTCAAACGATTCTCGTAATTGTAGTATACAATGTTTCTGTGTGTTTACAGAACTAGAATAAAAAAGATCTTACCCCTGTACAAGAGTTCTGGACATCAGGACAATTTGTATTGATGACAATATCTATTTGATACCAATTTGTCGACATATGTTATATTTTCTGGATCCTGTTTTTCCGTATTATTCTTCTATTCATTGTGTTATGTATTATTGTCACGTTTTACATATTAGAGATACTTCTGTATCAATCTAGATTTTCCTTTCACCCTAGGTATTCCTGTGAGAAATTAGGTATCCCTACGTCATAATGATAATAGTATATCTTACACTCCTATATTTACATTTGCGCTGCAACCCACTGTGCCTATATGAACATTACCAGCAAAAATGCATTTCATTTGAGTATAAAACCAACCCTCTCGTGACGTAACACGTGGTTTACTGATGTCGTCATAGATTAACCTTGTTCAGTGAGAATGTTGTCGCTTCGCTTCGAAACACATGAATAACGCCCCTGCGTCAAACACTCAAATGACTACGTTTAATCATTGGTGCAATGTCGTTTAAAGGACGACGCATATACAAAACGCCGAAGAAATAAATTAAATTAAACAATTGATCTATAGTAAAAAATGGAAGTATATGAATTCAACGGCGTTTTTTTAATTTTCATGCCGGTATGAACGCAAATTTGTAACATTCATATTGCATGAACCCCGCTATCATACTGACAGGAAAATTAAAAAACAAACGCCGTTCAATCCTTATATAGGTATCTTTAAAATGAGACGTATCTCATGTGCAAGTGATGACTTTGTTTTCGAAGCCGGACGTGTATACTGGGCGTCAGGCGATGGCGTAGAGTACAGCGACTTGTCTGGGAACAAAGGCACACTGGTGAAGAGCTCAGAAATGTTGACAGATTTAGTAGTTACAAGCAATGTCATTTACTACACGGGTAGAAATACCAGGTAAGTTTGCTGTACATGGAAACATCTGAAAAATTAAAGCAAACTTTGAAATATATTACAGGATAAACTAAAGGCTATCTGAGTGACATTGACTGTAGCTACTTTCTGTAAAATGTAATGCCTGGTTTTGCACAATGGATCTGTCACAAGTTGTAGCAACTTAGAAAGGTATCTCTTATCAATAGTGTCATAAGAAGTGAATTGAAATAAGTAAGAGATGAGTAATAATTGTGGCAATCGGTCAAATATATTTGTTCACTGATTTCACTTTATCAAATTTTGAAAACAAATGAAATAAAAGATGGATAAACAATATATTTACTTATATATTAATTAGAAAAGGTAGCATTGGCAATAACTATTATTGGTATTCATCCCGTGCTTCAGTATTAGTGTTGTCATATTCACATCCTGATATACAAAATCACAAAAAAATCTGCTTTATTCAGAAAAGTTATAAAGATTGACAAAAGTACCGGAGCCAATATTCATTGGTTGGATAACACTCCAGAAGTGGGCAGCGTGTTCTCCATCGACATATACAACGGACAGCAACAACCAGGTAATGAAACGACGATTAATAGGTTTAATTGTTGCTTTGAACTATGTGCAAATAAGCAATATGACTCGACGTGTGGTTTTCCCTTATCCTTAATAGGTAATATTATTGAAATAATGACCTTATATTATTTGATTTATCACATGTTTTTGCTTTTGAGTGTAAGAAATACATATAATGAATATTTGACAAACATGCATCACGTTGTTTTTGGATCTGTTGTTTGTTATCAGCTAATGCTGCATGTACCAATAACGGCCTGTGTGATGTATTCTGTCTGCCAACCCTCACGGGAAAAACATGCGGCTGCCAAGATGGAGTCTACTTACAGCAAGACAAACGAACATGTGGATCAAGTGAGTTATGGCATACTGAGTTCTGTTAGTAATGATAGCGCCCCATTGGTTTGGTCGTTTCGCAACAGAACTCTTACAATGCTTTACTACAGGCATTTGCTCTAAATAGCTTATGTAATATCACAATACATATGATAACCTCTTATAGTTTAAATATTACAATTTGTTTTTCTATATATTACACGTCATTTTCTCTGTTTCATTCCAACTGGGAAATAGTTGAAATACCATTGTCAGGTTAGGGAACTAATGACCGCTTCGAGACCTATTGCTGTTAGATTTTGCCAGGGTCATTGTAATCGTCATGGATATAAGCGTTTTGAAGAAGTCAATGTTAAATAGGCAAAGCAGATAATTTGTTTCTGTTACTACGTTGAAAAGGCAAAAATGATTTCTTGACAGGCAGTACAGTCTGAATTCTTGGAGATTTTTTCTTTAAGATCGGAATGTTTGATATCAATCATAGACTATTTGGATTTCAAGAACATGCACTCGATGTATGTTCAGACCGGGACATACAATTACAAAATGTAACAAGAATCCGAAACTTCACTCAATATTTCCCCTTGGTGATTGAACCATCTAAAAGAAGCATTGTCCTGATGTTTAAAGACTAACGCTCACACCCACATATACATGAAATAAGTGTATAACATTTAATTGTTCCACTTAGGACTATAAAATAAAAATAAAACATGAATATCGTCTGAAAGAAAAAAGTTTTGGAATCAAATTCTGACAAACAATTATGTTGTAGCTGTGACATGTGATACGACAATACCCAATGGGCTGATATCGTCCTTCTGTACGGGGATAGTGGCTGAGACCTGTACGTATCAATGTAATTCCGGTTATCATAAGAACGTCGATCATTCCACCATTACTTGTCTCTCTGTGGGCGCTTGGACAACATTACAAACTAGCCTCTGTCTAGGTGAGTATGTACACAACATTACAAACTAGCCTCTGCCTAGGTGAGTATGTAAACAACACTACAAACTAGCCTCTGTCTAGGTAAGTAAGTAAACAACATTACCAAACTAATCTCTGTCTTTACGGTAAACGAACATGGCGACAAATATGACTTACACTTCGATGTCTCTTGTTTGACATTGATTTTCATTTTTCTTTTATTTGAGGTTGAATGCCAATATTTCCCATCATTGTTATTCTACAAAAACAACACAAGCTGCATAACAGATGGCAATTAGCATTCCCTCAGGTCGGTTATTAATGAATGTCAATATTCATTTGTTTAATTATGACTTTTTTATCGAATCGCAGACAGTGTGTGCCGTAAAAATTGCACAACATTATTGCTATCACCATATGGTCTATATTTAAGGTTACGTATCATTGCATCAATTTAAACGTGAAACGTTCAATATTTTGAGCTGGTTTTTGACTTGGAACAATCTCTTTTGTGTATAGAAAACGGTACAACTTTAAGTAGTTTTTCAAGATTAGAGTTACTTTCCTTGGTATTTGTTTATATTTTGTTATTATTATAATGGTGTGTATTCATTGTATACAATGTATTCATTGGTCAAAATGTAGAACTGGCAGTTTTGTAAATAAGTTGAATCAAAAATTGATAGAACTTGCATACATGTATTTACAACACTCCGATTAATCCAAGGAGTTTCTATTACCCTATGTTCTACAATGTAAGAGTTTTACCTTAATGAAGTGTTTAAAATTTCTCAAACCCTATTATTTAACCCGATTTAAATTGCTAATAAAATTGCATTTGTATTTTTAGTTATACATTATCAAATCTTTATTAAATAAAATAACACTAATTTGATACCATATACTGACAACATGTCATATCACACCTGTAGTAATTAATATGAAATATTGTCTAACCATTTAGCGGACTCCCCTCCCTCAGCTGTATCGATAATACCAGTCATCGCCGGGGCCGTGGGAGCGGTGATAGTCATTTTTATTCTTATCGTCATCGTCGTATGTTTATGGAAGAGGAAACGGTATGAACCGCTTACACTTTTTACAGTTGTTATACAAAATTCCAAGTGAGTTTCTTTTAAACTCCGCTTGTCCATGCAGTATTTTCAATTTAACATTGTGATTTCGATTGTTTATATTTGGAGAATCACACATTTAAACAATAATATGCAATTGGATATCAGGATGAGGCAACAAACACGTTATTTCAATGAATAGTTACCAAACTGTTAAAATTGGCCAGTTCAGAATATCTGTATTTAAGGTTTCTGTTTTAAAAATTCACACAAGACATGTCTTATTTGTTGCAGTAAACCACAAACATTCCAGGAATCCATGTATATGAGCAACATGAGTAGGCCCACAGTGGTACAGAATCAATATGGGATGCCCCAGGATATAAATATCTCAGGCGCTATAGGTCCCCAAGTGGTAGTGACACCTCCTGATTACGGTTACAAGGACAAAATCAATCCCGCCTACCTCTATCCTCCCGAACAGCGTGCAAGGTGTCCTTCACCTGATCACGTGTACGCTGAATTGCCGCCTGCTTACTCACAGACAGATCCAAACTACATCCACCCAATGGAAAATGAACACGACGAAGCACAACCAAATCCATACGTTGACCCAGAACCTGTCGCCGAACATTCCGCCTTTAGGCAATCTCAGCAAGAGAGAAAAAACAGAAGTTTTACGGTAAACACCCCACCGTCGAATGTGCATCAGGCATCCAAGCCTGTTCAGTTGGATAACGATGGCACTTCACAGGAAATCCCGTACTTAATGCCCTTCCATGAGCCTGAGAGGAAAGTGCGAGACAAACGTGATCAACTGGGTCCCGACGTCACCATTGGACAATCTCTTGGTTCCAGTCCCCCCCATCGCCAATCACAACAAGGATCTGTCCCGATCTCCAGTCGGAGGATCTACACCGGATGTTCTCAGCAGGAATCGTATGACACTACAGGTGCAGATAGTGCGACTAATCAACAATCTCAACCTGGATTGTTTTCCAATTCCCAACCAAACGCCTACACAAGTAATTCGTATTCCCCGTATCGTATGCCCCAATATAATTCTCGCCGTTCCTCTCAACAGGAGGACCCATATCATTCCCAAACAGGGATAAATACATCGCCATCTAACCAACTGTATGGTCACGATTACATTGAGTTGGGGAGATAATCAACTCATCTGAAACAATTGTATTTGGACAATCACTTCCCGCTGATTAAACAGTGCATTGTTAAATGCTTTGATGTTAGTTTTCATATTTATCCTTTAGTCCGAATCGGAAAGTATTGATGATACGTTGTATCTTGTCCATATCATTATATCAAATCAAACTATGCTGGAGACATTCCATTATATCAGGAAAGTCGCAAGCAAAAGACTGTTAAATTTTAGTGTTTGGCACGGCACTAAAGCTTACATCAAATGACATTATATCACGGCCCTTCGAATAACATGCAGCCATTGAAAGTTGAGGCCGATTTACTCAATATATTTTCTGTGCTTATTGAATATTCTGTCTTAGCACTTTTTATGAAAAGTGTTGTTCCCTGTTCATGTTTTATCGTTTCACCTAAAAAGAAACACCAAAAGTGTTGACGTCTTTACCGTAAATGTTTGGAGATGCTTGCAATGTTGTATTTGTGTGTAGAATTATTTTTGTTTCTTGTTTTCTATCAGAAATGAGTAAGCTTTCATTAACTATGTACTTGAAAGTGTGATATGTGTTTAAATTAAATGATAAGGGTTTAAAAAAAAAATCTGTTTGATACTGTATATACCGACTATCCACTTTCAAAATTCCGTGTCGTATGCTGTATAACCCAAAACAAATCTTGGTTATTTCTTAAATATATTAATATTTAACTATGGATATGTGCATATGAATGTTTAACTTGTTATATAGTTTCATACTGTGCTACACATGTTTTCATAGTTAAAATACGTCATATAGAGCCCGACAGAGTTTAATGTAAATTTGACAGCAATAGAAATGTGTTTGCTAAAATATCTATTATTTATGTTTACATTTTGGTAGAGTAGTTACGTTCTATTTAGTTATTTCGAACAGTTCTTTGTACAGCAAATTAAGTCTTGAAAACAATGAAATTGATAATTGATGACGTCACAATAGAGATTGATGACGTTACTATAGCAAATGTTGTTATAGTCTCACAACAACATTTGCTTTCTTAATGCGTTGCAATAAAAGGATGCAGACCAAATGTAAGTATAGATATATGAACCATATGACTAGTATATATACACATGTCACTGATGTAATATTAGTGGTCGTAACTGTTGAGTTCCCACTCTTGATGATTGTCGATTCGAATTAAATCAAACGCATTAAAGCCATTACTTCAGTGTCCGCCTGTTTATTCATCAGCCAACTGTGCATGCTCTGGGAGAATACCAACATACAAGTACCCGGAGGGAGCAGTTATGAATTATAACATTATGATGCGTAATAATAAAACTCTACATCCCTCCTTTTCCAGAATAACAAATTATAATTCTCAAACAGGTTATGAACCATTTAACCATTGAGCACTTATCAATTTGAAAATTTTTTTAACAGTCCATAATAACTGAAATTAGAACACTGCTTTCAGCAACAGAATATGTGTGTATAAAATAAAGCCACTATTAGCAAAGTTCATTCAATTGAAACTTCAAAGTCTTTGAATCTTGAAGGGAGTCTGGTAGACCTCACTGGGCGCTCAGAAAGTGTTGCACGGTCTTCGTAAGTTGTTGCACGATCAGGAGACACATTCGAGTCCTCATTTGGAACGGGTGTCTCGGTTGAGTTGAAGTCCAAGTTCCGACTAGATTGGTCTGGTTCTTCACTCATAGTACCGTTTTACCTTCATGATGTTTCTACGGTATTGTACATCATCATTTCCAACAACCACCCTGTTACCTGACCTGGTAACAACTTGGTATGGCTTCTCCTCAAATGTTGGGGCCAATTTATTTTGTCTGTCCTGTTTCAGAAGAACAGTGTCCCCAGTTTGACGTCCTTTTTGATTTTGGCGTTACGCGTCCTGTCTGCGCACATTTTGTTTTTTCCTTTTTGTTCGTTGTCACGATCGCGTACATGAATATCATCTCCTGAATACTCCTCAATTCCCGGTAAACCTGTCCTTAATTTACGTTTGAATAGTAGTTCAGCTGGGCTCACCTCTGTTACGGAATGAGGTGTTGTCCTGTAACAAATTAGATATTTGTTGATCTCATCCCTCCAGTCTCTCTTCTCTATCTGGGCAGTCCTGACCCTTTTCAGTAGAGATCGAGTTTACCTCTCATCCTCTCCATTGGCCTGGGGCCATAGGGGCGTGACTTTTCTGTGCTCGATCCCCTGTTCTGAAAGGAAATCAGCAAATAATTCACTGATAAACTGTGGCCCATTTTCTGATGTTATGGAAACCGGTAGTACATGTGTCATGAACATTTGTTTCAAACTCCGGATGGTTCGATCTGTAGTTGTGGTCCTCATGGTGTGAACTTCGTAATACCGACTTTAATAGTCAACAACCACAAAAAGATAATCTCCTGATGGGAGAGACATGAGATCTGCAGACACGTGTTGCAATGGACCGGTAGGCAATTCTGTTGATTTCATCGGTTCGGGGGCTTGTGGCATACCCACTATTTGACATGCATGACAGGTTTTGCAAAATTTGTCTACATCTCTGTCTATTCCTATCCACCATACGTTGGTACGGAGGCGTCGTTTCATACAAACTATGCCCGGGTGTCACTCATGTGCGATCTCAAGGATCCTATCACACAGACTTGCAGGAATTAACATTCTGGTACCGCGCAGTATGAGCTGTCCTATGACACATAGCTCATCTTTGACAGGTAGATAGTGCTTGTTCTCCAACTAGTGCCACTGGTTATTTCGGATACACTTTCCCAAGTCGATCATTTCCGCATCTACTGCGGAAGCCTCCTCTATCTCGCGAGTAGTCAGTGCTCTTGGCGATGCGGTCTGAGCCACAAATCTCACATATTCATCGTCGCCCGATGTGAAGTTCTCCTTAAGATCACACGAGTTGTCTCCCTTGCCCTTGTCATCAATTAGCCTTGACAAACTATCGGCTATGTTTTTTGGATCTAGGTATGTATTTCACAGTGTAACAGTAGGGTTGGAGTCTAAGTACCCATCGGTGTATGCGAGCACTCGCCTTCACAACAGACGTAGCAGAATAAATACATTCCATCAGTTTATGATCAGTATGTAGTTCAAACTCTGTACCGTACAGGGACATATGCAGACGTTCAAAGGCCCACACTATTCCTAGAGCTTCTCGCTCGGTCTGCGAGTATCTACGCTCTGTGCTGGTCAAGCTCTTACTAATGTAACATATGACACGATGCTCTCCGTTGACTTCCTGTACTAGGACAGCACCCAATCCGACAGGAATAGCATCTGTGACTACAATCGTTTTGGCCTTTCGATCAAAGTATCCCAAACTCTTGGTATTAGCTAGTCGACCTTTTAACTCTCGGAACGCCGTTTCCTGTGCTTTCTCCCATACAAATGGTTCACTTTTCTTAGCGAGTCTATTCAGTGGTTCGGCCATTGTAGATAGACAGATCGGGGATAAACCTTCCCACATAGTTTACTAGTCCGGGAAAACTTCTTACCTCCCCTGGACTGTTAGGCTGTCTATTCTCGAACACTGCACGGACTTTCTCCTCATCAGAGCCGATCCCGCGAGCTGATAGTAGATGCCCCATTAACATCAACTCTGTCACTCTAAACTCACATTTATGTCTGTTTAATGTCGAGCCCTTTTCCTGGATTATCTTTAGCAGAGCCTCTAATCTCGCATCGTGTTCCTCGACTGTAGGAGCATTTACAATAATATCATCAAATATATTGCGTACCCCGGTACATCCATGTAAAGCCTGCTGAATAACGCGTTGGTACATTTCTGGTGCGCATGAAATACCAAACATTAGCCATTTATAGCGATATAGCCCTTGGTGGGTAACAAATGTAGTGATTGACCTGGACGCTTCAATAAGTTCAAATTGATGGAGTGCCCACTTAATGTCTAACTTACTGAACACTGTGCTTTGGTTCAAGTCATACAGCACCTCTTCTAATGTGGGTATAGGGTGTCGTTCCCTTATTATCGCCTCGTTTGCTCGCCTCATATCGACACACAGACGAATATCAGACTGACCTTTCGGAACAACAACACCTGGAGAAACCCATGGTGTGGGGCCTTCAGCGTTCTCACTCACATCTAGGTTCTCTAGCTCCTGGAGTTTAGCCTCTAGTTTGTCTCGGAGTGCGAACGGTATCCTCCTCATACTCTGCGCTACTGGTTTAACTGTCTTATCAATCGAGATTTCCAGTTGGAAAGATTTCAGTTTCCTAAGTCCATTGAAGCATGATTTGTATTTTTGAACAAGTTCATCTGGTCCCAATTGTCGCACCATGTTTACACTAGCATTGTTAACACCAATCTTTAACACGCCATGTTCAGTGGCTGTCTTACAACCAACTAATGCTTGTACATTCTCTTTCACCACTGTAAACTCAGCACTGATAGACCTACCCGTGGTACCGACCAAAACTTGGACCACGAAGCATCCTAGGACATCCATGGATTTCTTACTCCCGTACACATAGAGCTTGTTATCCGTTTTTCTCGACTCGCAGTCTACATGTTGACTTTTCAACTTCTCCCACAAATGTTTACCAATCACATTCAAGCTAGAACCAGAGTCAATAATCATGGGCACATCATGTATCCCTCCAATGTTTACAGGGATTGTGGGTTGTTTACAATCGTCACCAATTGAAAAAGCATAGTCATCATTACCGATCTCAACTAGTCGAATCTTTGATTTGTCTTTGCTTTTTCCTTGGTGTCTCTGTGTTCCCTGGTTAGCTTCGGATTTAGTCTTGCACATTTTTGATAAATGTACCACCTTGTGGCATTTGAAACACTCTTTATCCTTCGCAAAACACGAGTCAGAGTTCTGTAAGTGTGCATTACTTCCACAACGATAACACGACTTCCTGCTTCCGATATGACGATCAGGGTCAGTCCGACGCTTCGTTTGCACTCGATTGACATCTCCACGTGGTATGCCAGTACTAACACCTCCCATATTAACAGCCTGTATTTCACTGGTTTCCATCGCCCTAGCTACAGTCTGTACTTGGCCCAAAGTAAGATATTTACCCCTTTCGAGCAGTTTCCTCCGAAGATTGTGAGACAAGCATTTTTCTATCACTTGATCTCGAATTTGCTTGTTGACGTCATTAAAATCACAGAATTCAGCTTTTTGACGTAGCCGTGTTATTAATTGATCAATTGTCTCAGAGGGTTGCTGTGAAATATTCCTGAATAAATGTCTCTCATATGGAACATTAACTTGAGGAGTGAAATACTGGTCGAGCTAATTCAAAGCCACCGAATACACTGTTCCATCGGCGTCTGGATCTTCGTAAAGAAATGTGTAAAATATATCCTGCATCTGCATTCCCTCACAATGAAGCAATAACGCCTTCTTCTGTTCAGCATCTGTTACCCCTTTTCCTACCACGAACAGTTCAAACGCTCGGCGCCATTTTTTCCACCTTGAGCCGATTGAAGTTGGGTCACCGTGACATTCGAATTGGGGAATCAAGCCGATATCAGCATGAACTGATGTCGCCATTTCGAAGTATGAGTTCTTAGACTTCTTAAAAGTTCATCCTCGTCGCCAAATGTTGAGTTCCCACTCTTGATGATTGTCGATTCGAATTAAATCAAACGCATTAAAGCCATTACTTCAGTGTCCGCTTGTTTATTCATCAGCCAACTGCGCATGCTCAGGGAGCATACCAACATACAAGTACCCGGAGGGAGCAGTTATGAATTATAACATTATGATGCGTAATACTAAAACACTACAGTAACATCCGGAACAGATATTTGAAATTTGCGACAGGCTTACATGGTTCGTAATTTACAAGTACAATCAATGAGATATCATACAAAAATATCAGTGATGAACGTACAAG